CCACACAGGTGTAGGGGCCCAAGGACTTGGGCCATCTTCCACTGCTTTCCCAGGCCATAGCAGAGACTGGGTCAGAAATGGAGCAGCCGGGACTAGAACTGGAGCCCATAAGGGATGTCTGCACTGCAGGCGGTGGTGTTACACGCTAGGCCACAGTGCCAGCCCCCAATAAATCTTTTTTTTTTTTAAAGGGGGGGGCGGTGCCATGGCTCACTTGGTTAATCCTCCGCCTGCGGCACCAGCAACCCATATGGGAAAAGGTTCTAGTCCCGGCTGCTCCTCTTCCAGTCCAGCTCTCTGCTGTGGCCCGGGAAGGCAGTGGAGGATGGCCCAAGTGCTTGGGCCCTGCACCCGCGTGGGAGACCAGGAGGAAGCACCTGGCTCCTGGCTTCGGACCAACATAGCTCCGGCTATTGCAGCCATTTGGGGAGTGAACCAACAGAAGGAAGATCTTTCTGTTTCGCTCTCTCGCTGTCTAACTCTATCTGTCAAATAAATTTAAAAAAAAAAAAGGATATTTTATCTCTGTACAAAAAAATTTTTTGAAATTCATTGATTTTTCTAATATGCATTTTCATGAACTTTTTGAATGTCATTTATGCACATAGAGTTCAGTTTTATAATTTTATGTGGCAAAATAAGCACAGGTTGGTTTTCATTCCATTTCCCACCAACTTTTGGAAGCACCCCCTTATAAAAGATACATTATCTCACATCTACATGAGACACTCCCCACCTTCACAAATTTCACAGAGTTTACACATCTGCCTACCCATTCTACAGAGAGGCAAGGTAATAAACACTGGGGAGAGCCAGAGGCTGCCCTGTGAGCCCAGGTCTCCGTGTCCCAAAGCCCACGTCTGGAGCAGGCATTTGGCCTGGTGGGTTAGAGACCCATGTGTCATAGTGGAGTGTCTGGGACCAGGTGCCAGCTCCACTGCTGACTCCAGCTTCCTGCAGTGCACACCCCGGGGAGCCACAGGTGATGGCTCCAGTGGTTGGGTCCCTGCCACGCACCTGGGACACCTGGAGTGAGTTCATGACCCCTGGCTTCAGCCCCAGCAGAGAGTGAGCACAAGCATCTGGGGAATGCACCAGCAAACAGAAGTGTGCTTGCTCTCTCTCTACCTATCTCTCTCTCTCTCTCTCTCTCTCTCTCTCTCTCTCTCATAAATGAATAGGGGCCAGTGCTGTGGTGTAGCAGGTAAAGCCACTGCCTGCAGTGCCAGTATCCCATATGGGTGCCAGTTCAAGTCCCGGATGCTCCATTTGCAATCCAGCTCTCTGCTGTGGCATGGGAGAGCAGGAGAAGATGACCCAAGCCCTTGAGTCCCTACACCCACTTGGGAGACCCAGAAGAAGCTCCTGGCTCCTGGCTTCCCATCCACACAGCTCCAGCCATTGCAGCCATCTGGGGAGTGAACCAGCAGATGGAAGACCTCTCTCTCTCTCTCTCTTTCTCTCTCTCTGCCTCTCCTTCTCTCAGTGTTTAACTCTGACTTTAAAATAAATAAATAACTCTTTTTAAAAGATAAATGAATAAACAAATGATTTTTTAAAACTCACACTCCTCCCAGCCTGTTGCACCCCTGTGTCATACGTCATTGTCGTGGCAGTGGCAGTGGGAGGGTGTTGGGAGAACGCGGATGTAATACTGCACTGGGGAGAGGAAAGGCACTTCAAACAAGATGACATTTGAACTAAGAACCTACGAATGGGAAGAACACTACTGGCAAAACAAAATAGACCAGGTTGCATTCATTCACTCATTCATTCATTTACACATTCTGTGCTGGACCTGGTCCATTCTACCATGGACCTGCAACACAGTGGTGAAGAGACACAGCCCTATTCCCAGAAGACCAAGGTCCTGGTGGGAGAGAGAGACACAAAGATTACCAAGTTATTACTAATTATTTGTGTTTGTTGAGACATACAAACTGGAGAATCCCAGGAAAACCTATTTCTTGATGGTCAAGGGGATTCTTTCTGAGGACGCAAGCTTAAATGATGAGGCAAAGATGCTACCCATGAGAAATAAGAGAGAATGAATTTCTAGACAGAGGGAACAGAGTGTGCTGAGGCCCTGGGGCTGGGCAGGAAGTGTTGTGTTCCTGGAACTGAAACTGAGATACGTGGAAGCCAGTGAGTCCCAGGAACACACTGCCAAAGGGGCCCTGGGGAGAGAGGTGGATGAAGACGAGACAAGAGCTTGCATCTAAGCACAGTGGGAGACTGTGCAAGGGTCCAACTTGGAAGGCGTAAGATCCAATCTGCCCTCTAAGGTCAGACCTCTCTTTCCTCTTCTGTAAAATGGGGGAAGGGAGCGAGCGCAGGGCCAGGCATTGCAGCACAGCGAGTTAAGCTGCTACTTAGGACACCCACATTCCACAGAGGAATCCCCCTGGAATTCCACCTGGAATCAAGTCCTGGTTCCTCTGCTCCCTGCTCATAGGCCTGGGAGGCGGCAGGTGTTGGTCCAAGTGTCTGAGTTCCTGACATCCAGCGGAGACCTGGTTGGAATTCCTGGCTGCTGGCTTCAGCCTAGCCCAATCCCAGATGCTGTGGGCATTTGGGGAGTGAGCCAGCGGATAGAAAGGGTGTGTGTGTGTGTGTGTGTGTGCATGTGTGTGGGAGAGAGAGAGAAGAGAAAGAAACTACTTTTCAAACACATAAATATTTTTACAAAGAGACAGAGAATGTGTGAAAGGTGCTGAGCACCCTGCCTGTGCAAAATGGACGGAGGAGGTCCTCACCTGGGCACACCCATCCACACTGTTGGAACCCGCACTGCTGGGCCCCCCGCCCAAGAACTCGGAGGAAGGAGCTCTGCGAGAGGCCCAAGGATTTGCACATCTTACAAGTTCCCAGGATGTTGGTCCAGAGATCCCACTGTCACACCCTTGGATTAGCAAGAACAATAAAGAAGTGGGAGGCAGCTTGGGGACGCTACTGGCAGCAGTTAGAAGTTGGTGGAGTAAAATGACACCAGTGAGATGGGGAATGGTGGCTCAGAATCAAAACACGGTCGTCTCTCCTCATCCACAAGAGACACATTCCAAGCCCCCTGATGGATGTACCAAATCCTACATAAACTGTGGGTTTTTTCCTATAGATACATATACCATATAAAGTTTAATTTCTAAACTAGGCGCATTAAGAGATTAACAGTAATTGGGAACCCTGGCACTGTGACGCAGTGGGTAAAGCCACCGCCTGCAGTGCCGGCATCCCATATGGGCTCTGGTTAGTCCCGGCTGCTCCATTTCCAATCCAGCTCTCTGCTATGGCCTGGGAAAGCAGTGGAAGATGGCCCAAGTCCTTGGGCCCCTGCACCCACGTGAAAGACTCGGAAGAAGCTCCTGGCTCCTGGCTTCAGATCAGCCCAGCTCTGGCCGTTGTGGCCAATTGGGGAGTGAACCAGCAGATGGAAGACCACTCTCTCTGCCTCTCCTTCTCTCTCTGTGTAACTCTTTCAAATAAATAAATAAATCTAAAAAAAAAAAAAAAAACAGTAATTGGGGCAGCTGTTGTGGCTCAGATGAGTAAAGTCGCCACCTGCAACACCAGCAACCCACACACTAGTTTGTATCCCGGCTGCTCCACTTACAATCCAGCTCTCTGCCTGGGAAAGCAGGAGAGGATGGCCCAAGTGCTTGGGCCCCTATACTCACGTGGGGGACCCAGAGGAAATTCCTGGCTCCTGGCTTCAGCCTGGCTCAACCCTGACTGTTGCAGCCACTTGGGAAGTGAACCAGTGGTTGGAAGTGCGTGCCCTTTCTCTCTCTCTCTTTCAAATAAATAAATGATCTTAAAAAAAAAAAAAAAACTGTGAATAATACTGGCTGGCTGAGGTTCTATTTTGGAAGCAGAATGGACAGAACTGGGTGAGGGACTGGATATGGAGGATGAGGGAACAGGAAAATCCAGACAGGATATCTGGACTGAGCAACCTAAAGACAGCGATGGCGGCAGCCACAGAAATGGGGGACACGTTGAGAGGAGCAGGGGGATTGGAGGTTCGGGAGCCGCAGTACACACCCTGGGATCTCGCTGACAACAGCCAGACGGCCTTGGAACGTGGGCGCGCAGTGTCTTCACGGGGGCAGCGGCCACGTGCACCTCCCTTTCCACTGTAACCCCAGAGCCCAATCCAAGGCCTCCTGGCGACTAAATATGCAGAACACAGCTTAAAGAACAGATGGAGACGGAGGAAGCAGCGTGCTAAAGGCAAGGGACGTGACAGTCGCCATGTCACCGGAGGCCGCAGCGCTCAGTCCAAGGCTGGAGGCGCCCACCCACAGACGCTACTGGGCATGCGCAGGAGAATGGGGGGCTGGGGCGCGAAAGACAGACGGGAACCATCCAGGCCAGGGGTCTGCCTTTGGAAGCCGGAGATCTCAGCCTCTTGGGTGAGGGCTGGGTGGGAAAGGCTGGAGCAGTGAACGCAGTGAGTGCGAGGGCAGAGAAACCCGCTTCACTTGGGCTTTTCACAAAGCAAACCAGGGGGAAACCAAGCTGCACCACCCGGAGAAACGCGGAGGGAGGGAGGGGGAGAGAGGGCGAGAGGGCCCAGGGGACAGGACAGAAGCGCGATCCCCCGAGGCCACCTGCCCACCGAGGGCAGAGGGGGCTTCGCCTCCAAACCCCAACCTCTCACACCGCCCTGGAGCTCTGGGTGCTCGCCACACTCCGCGAGCAGGCGTGATGGACCCTCTGCCTCCCCACTTACCAACGTGTAAATTAACAGGCTGTAATTCCAGCCAGGGGTTCTGGTGACATCATAACCACAGAGCCACAAGCTCAGTTCACCAGAAGCCCAGGATGGAATTACACCCTTTTTTTCCTAATCCAGGGAGCTCTGGTCACTGCCATTTTTTCATGACATAATGGAAGCGAGCACTCCTTTAACCGTTTGTGTGTGGCCTCTCTCCTGCCCTCTCCGCCCACCCTGCCAAGACTTCCTGCAGGAGACCCCAGCCCTCCCAGGCTCCGCCTCCTGCAGCCCGTCTCCCCTTCCCTCTCATCTGTGCTGCGGCTTCTATCTTACAGTTTTGCTTTTTGGCACTAGCGCTGTGGCGTAGCGGGTAAAGACACTGCCTTCAGCACCGGCATCCCATATGGGCACTGGTTCGAGTCCCAGTTGCCCTGCTTCCCATCTGGCTCCCTGCTGATGGCCTGGGAAGGCAGTGGAAGACAGCCCAAGTCCTGAGGCCCCTGCACACAAGTAGGAGACCCGGAAGAAGCTCCTGGCTCGGATTATGACCCCAAAGTGGCAGGAAAACGAAGCCATGTTTGAAAGGAATCGGGAGAGTTTACGACTTTCTGAAGGCAAACGAGCGTCCCCAACCCGTGATTTGCTCTTGAGCCCTGATTTTCATCAGCCGCTCTGCTGAAGACAAAGTCTGCCCGGACATCACATGACCCGCTCCTCCGCTTCCCCATCTGAAGCCGGAAGCTGATACCTAAACTCCTGCGGGAGCCTCGCCCAGGGGAAAAAGCTGCCAGGGCGGGCGAGGAGAGAAAGAGCGTTCACCTGCTGACCCTTGGCCGGCTCTCAAGCCCTTTCCCAGAGATGTTTGCTTCCTCATTTTGTGGAGGGAGACGGGCGCTCAGAGACGTGCAGTGTTTTGCCCAGAGTGCCACGGCTGCCGACTACAGTGGTAGCTGCTCACTCGGAGTCTTCTCTGCTACATTCTCAATCCCCTACACTCAACCAGCGTCGGAAGATGTTAAATGAGAAATCCCAGGGAGAGACAATTCATGGGTTTTAAATTGCACGTCCCTCAGAGTCGGATGAAGACATCTCACGTGGCCCGGCTCCATCCCACCTGGCTGTGACGCATGCCCTTGTGCAGCGTGTCCACAGGGTGTATGCTGCCCTCCTGTTAGACTCCTGCTCACTGGCTCAGCCGTCGGATGGACTGTGGGGCTATCACAGAACCTGTGTCCAAGGACCCTTACGTAGTAGCCACCTGCTACATCACAGCACCTCTGTGACCCCCCACCGCACCTCAGCACACAGGCACTGTGCCATCTCGCATCCCCACAACAAGGGTGAGTCCAAGATTCTCTGGAAGATGGAGAGAAAAAAATGCATTCAAATAACTCATTACAGTGTATTATTATAATTCTACTTTATTTTTAGTTAGCGTTAAGCTCTTACTGGGTCTGGTTTATGAATGTTACTTTGCCATGGGTACATATGTATGCATAGAAAGAAACAGCACGTATGTAGGATTAGATCCTATCTGTGCTGTCACGCATCCACCGGGCATCTGGGAACGAGTGTAAAACCCCTGGACCTGAACCCACTCTGTCTGACTCGGAGGCTGAGAATGCTCTCTAATGGCCTTCTGCACAAAATATTTCAATAATAAATGTTGTACAGGGCTCCAAAAGGGCTTTTAATATCGGAAGGGATAAAAATTCTGTTATTTTAGGGTGCAATAAGAGACCAAAAAAAGATATTTAAATGTTCTCTGTGTGTGTTTTGTTTCAATAAAAAAGGAAATTATTTCAAAATTATTATGATGCCCCCCCCAAAAAAATGGCTTCACATCAATATCATACAGCAGAAATGAGGCAGATCAGCATTGCCGATGGTCACTTACAGGAGAGTGCGAGTTCATGGGTGCACCTGCCACGCCGGGTGTGCTGGGAGTGTTTCCTGAGGGCAAGAGGACCGTGAGTGGTAGGGGCCCAGTGACATCAGGGCTGGGTGAAACCTGATGACGTCACAGTTCCACAGACAGCTGCAGCTGGGGCATCTCACAGAGGGTCACAGGGCCACCTGCAAACATCGGAGAAGAGGACCTTGAGGGAAGTGGGGGTTACAACAGAAGAAGACTGAGCATCCAGGAAGCGCGTCTCTGCCCCTAAGGAAGCACAGGTTAGGCTGAGGAAGACGTGGAGCCCGCAGCCTGATTCCTCCAGCGTCAGGGACAGCGAGCAGCGTGCTCCCAGAGAATCCGACCGGGAAACGCCGCCAGCACACATCACACGGGCTGCAGAGCGGAAGCGGGAGCCACACCGCACAAGCAGGCGTCTTGCTCCTCCAGCTTCAACACGACTTGACAAAATCCCCTAGTGATGGAGAACAATCTATTCATTCCCAGCAGCAAACATTTAATTTCCGAATTAGTCCCATATCATTGTATTGCATGCTGGGAAACCATCATCATCTTCTAAATGTAGAAAGACAATTTGCAAACGTCTTGTGGGTTTTCCTCCCAGTTGAAATGTGCAGAATCCCACGGGCTGGCCTGACACATGGACCGGCAGGCAAAGCCAGTCTCGACCAGCTGCCTAGAAAGCTGCACCCAGGGCTTCTGCTGAGGCAGGCTACGAGGACCGGCTCTGGCGCCAGAACACCCAGCCCCAATGTGGCTTCTTGATCTCGACAAGCTTCTCAAACTTGATCTGCCTTGGTCTCCTTGTCTGTAGAATAAGGATCAGAGAGCCCCACGTGTTGTGCTTGTTCTGAGGATAAATGATGGAATACACAGAAACCATTTAAGACTGTAGAATAGATGCTCAATGAATGGTGGATGCAAGCCTTCTCTTCTCCATCACTACATTTGTGTTGACTGGAACGTTCGTCAGTGATGGAAAACCTGACTCAAACATAGCTCGCATAACTGAAGGAAGATCCAGCTTCAGGCATAGCTTGATTCAGGGGCTCCAGTGGTGTTGTCAGACTCCGCCTCTCTCTCTTTCCATCTCTTACCTTTCCCTACTCTGGCATAGCCCTATTCTCAGACAAGCTGTCTCTTCATGATGGCAAGAGGGCTGCAATATGCCAGCCACCTCCGGTTCAACTCCCATAGGAAAAACATACAAAATAGGTCTCAGTAAGTCCTGCTCAATTCAAAGATTCAGTCTACTAGGGACTGCATTTAGCCAAGTAGTTAAAATGCCCACATCGCACTCGAGGTACCTGGGCTCCATACCCAGCTCCAGCTCCTGACTCCAGCTTCTTGTACTGCAGACCCGGGAGGCAGTGATGACGGCTCAAGTCATTGTGTTTCTCTACTGGCTTGGGAGACCTGGGCTGAGCCTCTGGCTCCTGGCTTTGACCTGGTCCAGTCACAGCCATTGCCAATATTTGTGAATCAGCAGATGGGAGAGCTCTCTCTCTCTAACTCTGATTGTCAAAATAAATAAATAAATCCTTTTAAAAATTTAGTTACTATTTACTATTTTTAAGTTCCAGCTAATGCACATTAGGAATCTTTGCCCATCATTTCTGTCACTGCTGACAAGGTTCAGCATTTGTCATGTTTGCTGAATAAAGGGTGCTAACCTCATTATCTTATCCAAAAGATTTCATGTTCCTGGTGCACAAAATGATAGGACAGTGGGACTCAAGGACACGGGCTTCCTGCACGGGGGATTCCTGGGCCCACCAAGTCAGAGCTGCCTCTCCTTGGGCTCAAGCCCCATCTCCTGCCACCTGCCCCTGTGCTGCAGCCCACCGTGGAGACAGCACCCAGCGTGGCCATGCTCCACCCAACCCGACACCTGGCCACGCCCAAGCACCTTCCTCTCACACACGCTCCACCCCCAAGGCCCAGACAATACCCTCTTAGCTCCTGGGCTGCTTCCTCCCTCCAAGCAGCCTGCAGAATGCAGAGCTTTAGTAGCTTCCAGTTCTGATGACATCAGGCTTGATCAAGTTCCTATTCCTTGCTAAATACTTGGTGAAATGCACTCCCCCAGCTGCCCATACCCCCCGCTGTCAACACCATGGTGCTGGAAGAGAAAACCTGCCACCCGTGCACAGAGTCTGAACCCTGCGGTCCCAGGAGTTTGCCGCCTCTGCACCTGCAGAGCTGGGAGCCGGGCATCTCCCCACCGACAGGTGTGGTGCCCCGTGGTGGGCTCCCCAGGTTCAGACCCAGGTAAGGCCTGTTCTCTGTAAGGACCTGACAGAAATGCCACCCGACTCTCTGCTGTAGTGCAAGACCATAGACTATTGTATAAAGAAAAGGGATTCATTTCTTGTAATTCCTGATCCTGGCAAGCCCAAGGGCGCAGTGCCAGCATCTGGCCAGGGCCTCCTTGCTGCCTTATTTGGCCTAAGGATATCTTTCCATTTTGACGTTTTTATTACATTCTCTCTACATTTAGTAAGTGGTGCTATTTTTATTCACTTGTGGAAGTAATATGAGATAGAACTATTTGTTTCCTAAAAGTTTATGAAATACTAATTCCATACTAGTGCAGATAAGACACCCATGTGGGATTGATTGTCAAAACGGCCTATGAATGCTGGAAGTCTGGGAGCCACCGCCCTGTTGGAGACATCCCCATGTCCCACCTCCCACCAGGCCATCTGCCCTCCCTGAGTCATCTACGTGCAGCCTGCTACAGCCAGCAGGAGGGAGCACATAACATGGCCACGCACCTGTAGCCTGCACACAGGAAGGGAAGTGGCCATTCACGTTCAGACCTGAGGGGGTCGGAGGAGAGGGGGCCTCTCTGGGAGCATCAGTCCTGATAAGCATTATGGACCTGAGTGGTGCCGCTGGTCTCATGCTGCCAGGGGCTGTGTGCGCAGCCCCCCGAATCCCCTCTGTTGAAGGTTATCAAACTGAAAGCCCCAAATGAGCAAGATGATGCCCCACACACCCCTTCCCTGGTTTCCCTTTCGCGCAGTGCCTTCCTGAGTCCTCGGTGGTGGGTGATGATGGCTTCCCAGTGGCCACTGTGTTCACTGTCCTTCATGCCAGTCCTCAGAAAGATGCCCATGCCCTGACCCCCACAGCTGCTGTCACCTTATGACTTGCACCAAGGAGACTTGGCGGGAAGGATGAAGTTAAGAATCTGGAACGGGAAGGTTAGCCTGCATTACCAAGTGGGCCCCCATAAATGCAAGGTTCCTCATAAGCAGGCAGAGGATCAAGGCAGAGAGGACAGATGTGCCAACAGCAGCCGAGACTGAAGACGGAGGAGGGGGCCGCTGGCCAGGGAGTCCAGGTGACCTCTAGAAATGACAAAAGGCACCAAAATGGATTCTCTTCTGGCGCCTCCAGCAGACACCCAGCCTGGGCGACACCTCCCTGTAGCCCTTGAAGACTCATTTTGGACTTCGCCTCTGGAACTATAAAAAAGGCCATCTGCCTTGTTTCGGGCCACCAAGGTCATGGCCATATTTCTACAGCAGCTCAAGATACTAAGACACCCCAGCATGCACTGCCGAGGGAAGGAGCCGCAGATGCTGACCCTTGCAGCCTGCGGGGACCACCACAGGGCCATCTCTCGAGATAAGACAGCCCCTCCCCAGACCTGTTATTCCACAGGAGTCTCCCTGACTCCCACCCCCACCCAGACGTAATCACCTGTGCGGCTGGGTGCTCCTCCCAAGGCAAACAGATTGCAGCGCACATGGCAATGTCAGTGCTCCAGATGCCCACTGAATGACCAAAAGTTACCTACTAGCCAAAGTCCCTGTTAGCATAAAACCACCAGTTAGAGCAAGGGCTGACAGTGAGGAGCTCTCTGGTGGTGGGAAGGGGTCCCCACCTTCTTTGCCCAGCTCCAGGTAAGATTCTGTGTCTTCCAGCACAAAAGCATTGTAGCTTCCTACTCACTGCCATCCCAACTCTCCTGCTGCCATTTTTCACTTGCTTTTTAAGAAAAAAAAATTAAAGGTTCATTTTATTTGAAAGGCATTGTTACAGAGAGAAACAGAGAGACACACAGAGATCTTCCAACCACTGTTTCATTCCCCAATGGCTGCAGCAGCCAGGATGGGGCCAAGGCCAAAGTCAGAAGCATGGGACTCCATCTGGGACTCCCAACGTGGGTGGCAGGGGCCTGAGAACTTGGACCATTTCTGCTGCTTTCCTAGGAGCTTTAGCAGGGAGCTGGGTGGGGAGTGGAGCAGCCAAGACTCAAACCAGTGCTCATATGGGATGCTGGTGTTGCAGGCCCCAGCTTCACCTGCCGCATCACAACTCCAGGCTTAAATACATTTTTACTTGTATATTGTCATTTTATTTGAAAGAGAGAAAGAGAGAGAGGAATCTTCTACCCACTGGTTCACTTCCCAGTGCCCACAATAGCTGGGGCTGGAGCAGGCTGAAGCCAGGAGCCAGGACCTCCATCTGGATCTCTCACATGGGAGCCAGGAATCCAAGTAGCCAGACCATCCCCTGCTGCCTCTCAGGGTGCACACTGGCAGGCAGCTGGGATAGGAAACAGAGCCAGGACCCACACCCACACACACTGATCTGGAATATAGGTGTCCCGAGCCACATCTTAACAGCTGTACCAAATGCTACCCCTGACCTCAGTCTGAACATCTGAACAATGCTTTTCGTGCTTTTCCCATGGGTGCCCGGGCTGGAGGGCATGCATGTCTGACAGCAGTGAGAGACCCACATCAGACAAATGCACACATCCTACTTTTGCTTCTTTAAGTAAAACAAGCCAAATGTGGTGTTGAGGGGTCTTCCCTGTAGACACGTGAGCTTGATTTCCCACTGCGTCCTCAGCTGTGTGGCCTGCAGTAGGTCCGAGCGTAGCTCAGAGCCTGCTCCCTCGTCTGTGCAGGGTTGTTACAAGGGTGAAACTATGAAATGACAGGGTCTAGGGAAAGCACTCAGCTCAACAGCTGCTCAACAGTGGCCACTGTGGCGCTTTTCTCCTAAATGAAATGTGGCAGCCGCAATATTTCTATTAAAGTTTCCACCTAATGCATATCATATTTTATACATTCTTTCCCCTGAACTCCCAGGCAGGGATTAGCACAGTATTTTCTTACTTGGACATCGCTGCCCTCCCCAT